GGGCAGACGTTCGAATGGGTCGTCGCCGCCACGGGGGGCGTGCGATCGGCCCGAGGTTATCTAGAGTCACCAAAGCGGCGCGCGCCCGCCCCCCGCCCGGCGGCCCCGGCGGCCGCGGGGGCCTCGGTTTCCCCATCTGTCAAGGAAAGGGGCCCGCCGCCCCCTCGCCACGGCCGGCTGTCATGGCGCGACCTGGACGCGTGCCAGGGACACGCTCTGCAGCCTCGGCTCGCCGGCTGTTCTCTCCAGCCTCGGTTTCCTCCTCGGAAGCAAGGCGGCGGCGGTACCGCCGGCCTCCTGGGGGCCATGCCTTCCCCACGCGTTCATTGAGCGCCTACTGTGTGCCAGGCCCTGCTCCAGGGCGTGGGGGCCAGGGCGGGGGGTGGGGACAACGTCTTTACTCTGGGGGAGCCGACATGGGGCACGCTAGAGACGAAAACACCAGCCAAGTCCCTGGCGGGTCAGATGGTGGTAACAGCTATGGAGAAAATAAAGCAGAGAGCAGGGCCAGGTAGGTGCGATTTCAAACAGAGGGAGGCAGAGAGGCCCTCCTTGAAGCAGAGAGGACCGGAAGCTGAGAGAGGGAGCTGGTGGAGGCCTGCCGGCGGCGTGGAGGCTCGTTCAAGGAGGCAGAAGCAGCAAGTGCAAAGGCCCTGAGGCAGCACTGCGCCTGGCACCGGGGGACCATGGGAGGAAACCAGGGCAGGGAGGCAGGGCCAGCAGCTTGACGCATTCGCACAGGGGCCCGGCTCCCAGAAGGGCCTGCGGTTGGGTTAATGATCTACTGTTCTGGTCTGGAAATTCCTAATAATTTTTGAAGGAGGGGCCTGATAGTTTCGTTTTGCATTAGGCCCTGCAAATTCTGTAGCTGGTGACAGGACCAGGGCAGATGGTGCAGGGCCTGGTGGGCCGAGGGGAGGACTCGGGCTTTTCCCCTGAGAGAGGTGGGACACCGGAGGGCTGTGGGCAGAGGAGGGGCGGCTCTGACTCAGATTTTGATGGGATCTGCTCGCAGCCACGTGGAGGACAGACCTCAGAGAAGCTGTTGAAATAATGCCCATCAACCCCTGGCACGTGCTAACCGCAGTCTCTGAATTCTCCTCCTCGTCATCGTCTATGCAGCTTGCCTCCCTGGGTGTGTCTAACTTCTCTGGGCCCTTGCTTTTTCCATCTGTAAAATGGTTAGGACCCTGGTCCCCTTTCCTGGGCACATGAGGGGCCGGGACTAGGGTGACATAAATAAGCAAAATTTTAAGTCTCCCCCCAGAGCAAAAAGCCTTCAAGATAAATAATACTTGAATGCAGTATTTTAAAAAATAAAAAGGAACGCCCCCAAAAATTCATAATGCACAAAATATCCACATATTAAATAAGACAGCATCTGAGGGGGCCGCAGACGAGTCTCGAAAATGCAGGGTCTCCCTAGTCCTGAGGCTGGAAGGAAAAAGGAACAAGTTTGGGAAAGTTCTTCGGTATTCCCATCGGGTTCTGGAATACTCAGACCCCACAAATCCTCCTGGAGTCCCTGATGGGGCGGGCTACAGAATTTTAGGGCCCAGGGCCGAAATGAAATGGCAGGACTTGTTGTTCAAAAGTGGTTAGAAATTTTGAGATGGTGACAACAGAGCATTAAAGCAGGCACCGGGGCCTGGAGTGCAGGACCCCGTGGGGCAACACCAGACTCACACCGTGAAACCAGCCCTGTCCCCATCCCCACCCTCCCCCCGGACCGTGGGGACCAGACACCTTTCTCCTGGGAGGCCGTCTGCGCCTGGCCCTCATCCAGGCAGGCACCCCCCCCGCCGTATCGGCCCTCGGGGACCAGCACTCCCACTTAGCACAGACTGGTTGTGGGGCAGAGCTGGGCCTTTCAGCGTGTAGAGAAGCCCAGAATTTTGACCCAAACCATGAGCAATAATAAACCAACCCAGCTGTGTATGTTTTCACTACGCACCAGGCCCTGCCTTTCCCATGTTAACTTAGGTGCAGCCATTGTGCCCATTGGAAAGAAGGGAAAATTAAGGCACTCAGAGGTTTAGTGATTTGGCCAAAATCACACAGCCGGGAGGTGGCAGAGCCGGGATGTAAACCCAGGTCCTCGGGCCCTTGACCGCTGAGCAAGACTGCCCCTCCGGGTGGGGCACGAAGGCAGGGCATGGGGGGATACTGGCTGCAGGGGGCCGAGAGCCAGGATGGTGCGGGCCCCTGCATTCAGCGCTGAGGAGTGGGGACTTGACCTGGAGGGCACTAGGGAGCCATGGGAGGCTATAGAGCAGGTTTCTGAGAATGCACTCTTGGCGTTCTGGCCTGGATTATTCTCTGTGGCAGTTCTGGGCACTGTAGGGGGTTGAGCAGCATCCCCAGCCCCACCCACTCAATGCTCAGAAGCACCCGCAGTCTTGACAGCCGTGGATGTCCCCAGACATGGCCAGTGTCCCCTGGGGGACACAGTCGCCCCCAGCTGAGAAGCCCTGGCTTAGAGCAGCAGAGAGAGGCCTCTAGGGCCAGATGGTGGAAGGTTCTCGCTGGTCATGGAACAGACGAGGCCAGGTGGGAGGCCAGCAGACCAGGGGCACGCCCAAAGTGGGGTTCAGGAAGGGGCGGGCTGGGGCGGGCCCAGTGCGCGGAGGAGCTTTTGGGGGCAGAAAGAACGGAACACGGCCGGGGAGGGAAAGGCACGGCCGGAGCCCCAACCCAGGAGGGCACAGTCTTGATGGTGTAATTCATTTGGGGGGAATTGGGGCTTTTGAGCTCTTTCTGTCTGGGTGGCTGTCCCCCACACCCCTCGGCCCCCACCCGTCCCCGACTCCACGTCCTGCTCTGTCCTCTCCCCGGGTCCTCTGGGCCACCGCTGGGGCCAGGTCGGGGCGGGGACGTGTCTCCTGGATCCCACCATTGGGGACCGGCCTCGCGGGCTGCTTACACATGAGCGGGGCTGTGGCCGCCGGGCAGAGCCAGGCACCGCCTGGTGCCTGATGGATGGGGCTGCCCGGCCATTCATCGGGGCCGGAGCAAACAGGTGGCCGCCCGGGGCCTCCCCCGTGGGGCTGCTGGAGCGGGAGCCTCCGCCGTCCTGCTCAGCCTGGCACGACCCCGCCGGGTGGCTGGAGGCCCCGGGACTTTCCTGCTCTGCACCTGAGTCCCCCCCTCCCCACATGGAGCCAGTATTCATTCATTCTCTCAGTAAATGTTTATGCACCGACTGTGTGCCAAGGTGCTTCTTAGTGGAGGTTTACAGCAGTGACCAAGGAGGACGATATTCCTTCCCCTGCAGAGCTGACAGGCTTTAAAACTTGACCTAAGTCCCGTCCCTCCTCTGCGCGCAGCCCTTCAGGGCTCCCACCTCCTTCCGGGGAGAAGCCCAAGTCCTCCTCGTGGCCCACCAGACCCTGCACGACCTGTCCCGTCCCCTCCCTGCCCTCCCTCCTCCCTCTCTCCCCCTCCTCCCTCTGCTCCTGCCACACGGGCTCCTCGCTGTTCCTCCAACACGCCAGGCCCGGTCCTGCCCCAGGGCCTTTGCACGGGCTGTGCCCTCTGCCTGGAACGCTCATCCTCAAATCCCAGCTTGGCTGATTCCTTCGTCTCCTCCCAGTCTTGGCTTAAATGTCACCTTCTCAGTGTGGCCTCATTGTGACTTCCCTGGTTCATTCAGGCAGGGCTGGGACCAGGCTGAGTGTACTTTCAAGTGAGACACTTTCTTTCTTTTTTTTTTTTTTTTAAAGATTTTATTTATTTATTTTCCCCCCAAAGCCCCAGTAGATAGTTGTATGTCATAGCTGCACATCCTTCTAGTTGCTGTATGTGGGACACGGCCTCAGCATGGCCGGAGGAGCGGTGCGTTGGTGCGCGCCCGGGATCCGAACCCGGGCCACCAGCAGCGGAGCGCGTGCACTCAACCACTAAGCCACCGGGCCGGCCCCAAGAGACACTTTCTTCAGGCGTAAAATTTAAGGGGACCCCAAAAATCTCGGTCAACACGGTAAGCACTATTTTAAGACTTTTTTTTTTTTGGTGAGGAAAATTGGCCCTGAGCTCACATCTGAATGCAATCTATTTTTTTTTATTGTGGTAAAATACACATAAAGTTTACCATTAGAGACATTTAATACATTCACCATGTTGTGCAGCCATCACCACCATCTGGTTCCAGAACATCCCATCACCTCCAAAAGAAGCCCCGTCCCCATTGGCAGTCACTCCCCACCCCCTCCCCAGCCCCTGACAATCAGGAACCCACTCTCTGTCTCTGGACGTGCCTGTTCTGGACATTTCACATCAATGGGATCACACACCGTGTGTCCCTCTGTGTCTGGTTCTCTCGCTGAGCGTCGTGTGTTCAGGGTCCATCCACAGTGTGGCTGTGTCAGGGCCTCACTCCTCTTCAGGGCTGTGTAATACTCCAGTGTGTGGGTGGACACGTTGTGTGGATCCATCATCAAATGGACACTTGGGTTGTTTCCATCTTCTGACAACCGTGAGCAGTGTTGCCATGAACACGCGTATACAAGTGTTGATGTGGACGTATGTTTTCATTTCTTTTGAGTGTGTACCTAGGAGTGGAATTGCTATAGATCATGTAGTAATTCTATTTGTAGCTCTCTGAGGAACCACCATCCTGTCCTCCACGGCGGCTGCACCATCTCACATTCCCAGCAGCCGTGCACAAGGCTTCCAATTTCTCCACGTCCTCGCCAACACTTATTATTGTCCATTTAAAACAAAACTCACAATAGCCATCCTAGTGGATGCCACGTAGCATCTCATTGTGGTTTTGATTTGCATCAGGCAATATTTGAACAGATCACAGTAAATGAAAGAATTTCCCTGATGAACAAAATTTCAAACTTTAAGATAAAAAAAACAGGTCCAACACTTCCCTTGCGTGACCGCCTCCCGTCCTTCCCGCGCCCCCGGCCCGGGGCCGCTGCCCCCCTGCCCAGGACTCACCACCATCAGACAGCCGACGTCTCTTACGTATTTATTTTGTTGGTTTTCTCCTCCTAGAATGTCAGCTCCAGGAGGCATGGATTTTGTGTGTCTTGGTCACAGCTGTGTCCCCAGCATCTAGAACATGGCTGGCTCGCTGTCAGAGCTGGATAAATTGAGAACGAGTGCATGAATGGAGGAACGGAGTGTAAGGATCTATTGGGTTGTTGGGAGAATTAAATGAGATGGGACGGGAAAGGATTTAGCACAGATGGCTGGGACTCGACATCCCGGGTTCAAGGTTGATGACCCAATAGAAGCCTCTGATTGGCCAGATTTAGATCACATGACTACTCTGATTCAATATTAAGGTCTCAACAGATGCTCTGATTGGCCGGATTTAGATCACGTGACTTTCCAAATTCGTTGAATGAGGAAATGAGTGATTATTCGATTATATTACTTTTTCCTTCTCCCATCTTCCTTTCCTTAATAAATGCCTCTTCTTTACGGGGCCATTTGCTATGGAAAAAGAGTGGAGGATAAACTGACACTGACTGAGCATGTATTAATGCTCAGGTTGGCCCCTAATTTTCATCCGAATCAGTATAATGCAAGGCACAGGAACACGGAAAGTCGGTTGCCCCAGGGCCTTTGCACATGCTGTTCCCTCTCTCTGGAATGCTTTTTCCTACATCTTCCCGTGGACTTAATGCTTCTTCTCAGCTTAAGTGGCAGTTCCTCGGAGAAGCCTTTGCTGACCAGTCCGATGGAAAAAAAAAAAAAAACTCAATCATTCTTTAGGATATCACCCTGTTTTATTATTTAAAATAGTGTTTATCACTCTGAAATGAACGTGTTTAATTGCAGTCTTCTTTATTTTCTGTCAGCCCCGTCCAATTAAGAGATTCGCAAGAGCCTGTCCTATTTCCTGCTGTGTCCCAGCACACGGCCTGCATCTGGCAAAGGATTGATAATCAGTACAAAAATCAGGTATTTGTGAAATGCGTGAGTGAGGTAGGAATAATGGTCCCCATTTTCCAGGTGAGGAAACTGAGGGCCAGAGGGGAGCAATGATGGATTCTATTATTTATGCATCTTTGGAATCTCTGTCTTCTTTTCCAGCCCCAGGGCTCAGTCACTCCATGAAAATTTATTGAGCACCGACTGTATGCGTGATCCTGGTCTAGATGCTATGGATACAGGGATGCACATAGACTCTGACTTGACAGTGTGTTGGGGAAGCCACACAGTAATTAAATGACTATATGAACAAATATACTGTTGTGACCCATCAGAATCCAATTGTCCCCTAATTTGTCCCCTATTTAGGAGCCCCTCTGAGGCGGCCCCTGTGACACATGACACGTCCCCACCATTCTCTGAACACTTCCTTACGTCCTGGCCCCACCAGATCTTCTGAGTCCTTCCCCGGCTCCGCACCTGGTGTCAGACTTCTCCCAGGAGAGCCTGCTCCTGGCGATGGAGGAGGGGACTTAGAGACCAGGACCTGGGCGCCGGGTGTGCGCGGACGGCGGGGAGGGTGCTGTTCCCGGGCCTTCCGGGGGGCAGAGCTGACACACACACATTCGTGTCTTTACAGCTGCAGCTATCAGTCGTCTGTCTATCATCTATCAATCTTATCTGTTCATTATCTATCATTTATTTGTTTATCTACCATCGATCTAGCTATCTATCTCATCTATGATCTATCTATATTATCTACCATCTATCAATCATCTATTGATCTTGTCTGTTTATTATCTATCATTTATATGTTTATTTATCATCTATGTAGCTATCTATATATCTATCATCTATATCTATCTTATCTTTGATCTATCAATATCTATTATCTATCATATATCTATCTAATCTATTTATCATCTGTGTCTCTGTCATCTATCTATCCATCTGTCTGTCTATCTATCATCTGTGTCTGTTTATCATCTATCTATCAATCTACCTATCTATATCTATCTGTCATCTATGTATCAAATGCT